TGTAATATAACTATTGTTATAAATTATTTAGATAATAAACCAAAAAAATAATATATATATATATATATATATACAGATGATAAAGAAAGAAATTTCAATTTCACTATTATTTCATCACTTTTTTTTTGTTGTTGTTGAATCAAAACTCAGTCTTTTTTTTTTCTTAGTTTCCTAATGAGTTTTAAGTTCGGTATGAAATCGATCTTCTTACCAATACTGTATTATGTGCTTTATTGAAGTCGGTTAACAATAATATACTTATTGCTGCCTAGTTCTTTTAGAGCTAAGTTGTAAAAAGACGATAAGAAATGTTTTTTTTTAATTCTGGTTTCAATAATGTTGTCAATATCAAAAGTGCTAGTACTTTTAAAGGTAATAACTAAACATTAACTTAAATGGTAAGTTTAAAACGTTGATGAAAAATCAGTCTTGGTATTTCATTTCTTACTACTTGCAAACAAAGTCACCTTACATCCCAGTTCTTGAATTTTAAAACCACAAATTACCAGATTCGTGACTCACAAGCCCATCGTTCCTCCAAACGTCGTCTTCTTCTAGGAGAAATAAAGCTGAAATATCGAATAAAGTATCAACTCACCACTCGGCGTGAAGCATGTTATTTGGAGCTTCAAAACTCTCTTTCCTGGACTGACTTTAACAGCCTTTTTAATAGTATATGTACTCTCAACTGTAAAATTTTAGCCAGTCATGAACACATACATAATACAAAACTTAATAAGTTGTCTACCTCTCATCATCCTGAATCGCTAAACTCAAACTGATTTTTAACTACAGTGATGCTGAACTCTAGGAAAAGGGATAAACTTTTGGTTGCCGCCATTTTAATTAAATTTTAGTGATTACCCTTCCCCCTTTGAAAATATTTACAAAACGTTAAAATCCCAATCTACCTTTAAGGGTACTAGCGCTCTTGATATTGAAAACATTATTAAAACTAGAATAAAAAAACTTGTCTTATCGTTTTTTTACAAGTTCAACTCTCACAGTACTCCCTCTCCTTTTTCAAGAGAAGAATTCTTAGCTATAAAATAACTACCTAGCAATAAGTATATTATGTATTAACCATGCAAATATTTTTCAAGAATATCAATTTGGTAATGTATTTGATGCAAAGAAGTATTTCAATTTGGAATTAGAAATTTTTAAAACTATATTTTATGCTGGAGTTTCACACTCCTGAGGTTGTTTGAAACTCTGGTGTTCATACACCAGGTTTAAAACAGAAACGGTAAAATGTATACCTGAAAGTAAACTCCGCCTTTCACTTTTGATTCACTCTTATCGCTGTAATACACCAAAGCATGCTTGTTCCTGTCGAATACGAACCATCTCCTCTTCCAAATATGCAGTGCTCCACCTAATTTGTGCAAGTATCCTCGACAGGACGTAGGGGTCAATTGGACAAAGGGACACAGTTCGATTTGATGACCAGCTGTTTCGATGTGATGACGCAAATTCAGCTCTGATCCACGGACGGGAAGATAACGTGTCAGCGGACGTTGAGACTTGAGTTTCTCTCTTTTACGGACTTCCCCGCCACTCGAGGCACGAGGAACATCTAAAAGTTTGTCATTTTTACTGTAGCTGGTAGATTCTTGTTGTCGAGTCTACAAACAAAAAGGGGTTATGCAGTAAAATGATGTGGGTAGCTTACTAATCCAATCAAGGTCTAAGTCAAAGAATTCAAAGTCTCAATCAAAATGGGCAGTAATCCGCATTTGAACAATAACATCATAAGGTGTTACCATATATTATAAAAACGAACAATGACATCAGTCATACACCTAAATAGCAATGATTTTCACCTTATTTCAAACAAGTGAACGAATATAGGTTTTCAATGTAAGGCTTGTTATCTTAAAAATGCACTTTTTATTTATAAGTATTAGTCTTACTATTTTTTTTTCACAACAAACACTGATCGGTAGCTTAGTAATGTGTCAGTTTATGAGTTATTGTTACATAATTCATGTTGGCATTTAGAGCACAACTTGAACATTATTCACATTTTAGATAACTACAATTCCGCAAAACAGGATTGCTGATCTAGTCCACACAATTTTTTGAGCACACTGCTACCCTACACACAAGGTAAAAAGCTGCACCACAAAGTATTAACACCACTCATATTTACCAGTGTTATATGCATGGCTCCAGAACAAACTGGTGTTTTTTTTAATTCGGTTTCTATTTATTATGTTAAGTCTCCGTAAAAAATAGAACATATAAAGATGTATGTATAATTGAATAGCAGTAGTATCGAATTTGTTTTAATTCCTTCAATAAATTCAATGTTATTTTAATCCAAGTACCACTGTCTTTCGCAAGATATGGCGTTTACAGTAAACCGGTGTTGATATATCCAGCAATCTTCAGCTCGAAACAGAACAAAAATTTTTGATTTAAGTGGAACCTTATTCCATTCCGATTTGCCTCAAAATAACTGAAGGTTATACAAATACTGTTTCGACTCTATTTTGGTCCAAGTGGAAAACTGTTCAATTTCTTTTAGTACAAACAGCTCGATGTTAAAATATTGAATTACTCAACTCGGCAGATGCAAGCAATTACTCTTACTTCAAGGTTACAGCCGAAACACTCAAGATTCCTTTGGAAAAAAACAAAAAACAACAAAATCACCCAAGTGTGGAGACGAGGGGGGGGGGTAATATATCGGAGCCAAGCGGAATGAGTAATGTTAACGGTTATGAAAAGAAAAAAACAATGGTTCATTAAATTTTACGCAAAAGAACCAAATGAAGATACTTAGTTTATTTCTGGAACTGAAAAACGACCGAATAATTCTGAAAGAGAAGAAGCGTTATAAATAAATTTTCAGTTACTGTCTAAGCCGTGCATTCATGCTTAGAATATAACGAGAGTGAAGTTAACACTTTATCTTACACTGTTCTATTGTCTGCACTTCACAAATTGGTGAAACAAATACTTTAACTGTTTAAGCAAAAATAAGGTGTTGTCGCGGAAATGTTCACCCTCCTCTTCCATTGCTCATAAACGATAAGAAACGAGCTATAGCACTTCACCGGAGAAAAGGATTCGTTTGTTGTTAAGCGCAACGCTACACAAATGGGCTATAAGTGCTCTGGCTACTGCAAGTATCGAAACCCGATTTTTAGCGTTATAAGCATTCAGACTTACCGCTGAACCACTAAAGGGGAGACATATAAAAGGAATTATGTTTATTAAGGAATGCTACCTACTCAGTTAGCAAGTAATTTATGAACTATAGAAAACTATTAAAAAAAAGTTTTACCAATGCCATTATTTTCTAATATCAAAGAATGAACCACACTTTAACAAACATTAAAAACAAACAAACATGCATATAGAATTAAGTTCTAGAAACAAGATACACCTTTAGCGCGGCAATATACAAGAACACTTAGTTTGAAGTTAAGCACAAAGCTATACAATGGGCTATCTGTGCTCTGCCCACCACGGGTATCGAAACTCTGTTTCTAGTGTTGTAAGTCCGCAGACATACCGCTGTGCCATTGACTGTATAAAACAAATATTCATCAAGTGAAAGTGTTACATTCAAGTGAACTGGGACACGAAAGACTCACA